AAGCACTTATTCTACTGAGCTATCTCCCCAGCCCTGAAGTTTTTCAGTTCTGTCCACCATACCTTCACCATCATTTTTGTTTCTGTTTTCTCTTGATACATCATTTGGAAAATAATCGTTACCAGTTTTTCCTCAGCATGGGTTTGTTGTGCAAGTCCTGGGAGGAGCTTACCCACTTCCTCTTAATAGCAGGATATTGAACCTACAGTGTTCTACCACTGAGCTGTAACGCCAATCTTTCTGTGGCTCTGCTTCCGTTATTTGTGGAAAATGACCATCAGAGTGTACTTGTATTGCTCACATTCTCACGCATGTGCAGATCTTTCCGAATCAGGTGCTTTTCTTAGAGACCTTCAGACTTGTTAATGATTCTCTCATAAAATCCTTTCAGTGTTTGCTGCTTTTCCTTCCTCTTGTACAGAATAACCTGGTTTCCTATGTAGGTAGCTACATTACACAGGTGTTAGTGATTTTTGTCCACTGAACACTGGCTTTTCTCTGATATACTTAGCCAGTAAAGTTTTCTTCTCTTGGGAATTGTATCTAGGGCTGTATAATGCCAAGCATATGTTTTCTCACTAAACTACAACCCTACATCAGCCACTTAATTTTGTAGCAGATATTATCTCTGGGTGTTATTTTTGTTCCGACAGATCTATAGTTGTGAACCTATGGTACACATGCCACAGCAAGCTGTTTCTTAGCATTGGAAAGCTCTGTAAGATTTGCCATTGCTGCCATAGTTGCTCTCTGTTTATGAACTGATTTGTGGAGATTAAACAAGTTAAGCCAACACAACCATACTGGGGACTCAACCCTGAGCCTTTCCCTGGACCTACATCCTCATTCCCCTTTTTTTATTTTTTTGAGACAGAGTGTGGCTAAGTTGCCCAGATTTGACTCAGACTTCCTTTTCTCTTGCCTTAGCTTCCTATAGTGCTGGGATTACAGGTGTGTGTCACTAGTCACCATACCCTGCAAGTGGTATCTACTTTTTTGGCACAACAGGGACAATATTGTTATGGGTTGGGTTTTTTTGGGTTTTTTTTCTTCTTTCTACTCTCAAGTTATTTAAGACAGTTTTGGGAAATAGGATCTGAAAATACTGGGCACACAGTTTTCACTCTTTTTTTTTTTTTTGCAGAACTGGGGCTTGAACTCAGGTCTTTGAGGTTGCCACTGAGCCATCTCGCCAGCTGCTTTCACATTTACACATATACTTCATTCTTAATGTTTTAGAAAATTTTCAGTGTGGGGGAAAAAAGCTATAGTCACTAAGTTGTTCAGGTTATGCTCAAACTTGAGATCTTCCTACCTTAATTTCCCAGAATGATATTAAGCATGTGCTGCCATATCTGGTTGCAAGATCCATTTCCTACTGAGCTATCTTCCTGGCTCACAAGATCCATTTTCAAAAGAAAATATTTGAGATTCTCTGACACCATTTGGGGAAATAAGATTTATATCCATTTTGTTTCATATATAACTGCAGTGAAATAGCAAGTTCAGTCAAGAATATCTGGAGGGTTTTTTTTACTTTTTTTATAGAGTTTTAAGTATTAACCCAGCCAGGTGTAGTGGCTTACACCTGTAATCCAGCCTACTGGAGGAAGCTGAGGCAGGAGGATCACAGGTGGGAGCATAATTTAGTATTAAGACAATGTCTTAAAATAATGAAAAGGACTGAGGAATTAGTTCAGTGCACGGGCCCAACGTTCAATCCCCAAAAGTGTCTGGGGGTGGTTTTTGTATTAATAACTGCTGGTTTTGGCCAAAGTGCATAAAAATTACATTCTTGTTATTTTGGGAAATTTTGAAGTTCTGGTCACTTGCAGCCTATTG